GCCTTTATTTGTCTGTGATTAATATAATGAAACCGAGAAGTGTTTATTCATGTATGGCAATTTATACATTAATACCTCAAACATTTTTAAATGTTTAAATTATTTTTTTCTTGTCTTGTTTTTCAGAGTGACTCTGCTGAATAAGTGACCACAAGTAAATGAAGCTGTTCAACAGAGTTTATAAAATATGAATTAACTGTTGAATTATTCTCCATTGTAATACCTCAATAAAAAAGCATGTACAAAACGGAAGTTTCAGAATAGTTCTTCAAATATTTTTTTAAGTTTACATCACTACAGCTTCAAATTTGAAGGTAAAGCACAATATTTCAATAACCAATATCAAAAATTCTAAAAAGTAAATATTTTTCTAAACAATTAGAAAAATGTTTTCCTGATATTTACCTCTTCACATTCTACAGCAAAAGCCAAGGGATACAGAGAGCTAAAAAAGCAAATATTGTGAGACTAGGGCTGGGCAATATGGCAAAAAAAAAAAATCACAATTAATTTTTTAACATTGTCCGATCTCAATTATTATCACGATTTTTTGTTAACACAAATAAATAGCTACAGGGATAAAAAATAATAATAATAATAATGGCTGTTATTTCACTTTCACTAATATAACAAATAGCTGTGGTTCAGTAGAATATTAAATTACTTTTGCAAGGTATTTAGGGATATTTACCAAGAAAAAAAATATTTATGTGTAAATCGTAGAATCTCACATTAATAACGTTATCCTTTTGTAAAATTAAAATTTTAGAATTGAACTTAACATTAAATATACCATAAAGAAACATAAAACCTACAAACAGCAACAATTTGTGCACACTTGCCAACTGAATAGGATCTAAGCTCATTACTTTTGTTATGGAAGGAACCCCCCCACCCCACCCCACCCTTACAGTGCTTTGTCAAACAACGCTGTGTAATTTTTTCTGAAAGAATATCAGATTCTGCACACAACAAAATGTTGCAAAAACTCCCAGCTTCAAGTGTTCAGGAGTTTGCAGCGTCTCTCAGCTGCTGTTTGTGATGAGACTCAGAGAGAAGCAGTCTTCACGTTGCGTCCAGTCCATTGTGTGCCAATTAAACTTACAGAAAAGTTCTTCCCCAGATAAATGAAGAACCGCTGGGACATTGTTCTGTCCTAAACGTTACCCTAAGACCGCTTCATATTTTTGGAGGATGCTTTAGCGAGCTGCGCATCGCAGCTGCCCCCCCCCCCCCCCCCCCCCCCCCCCCC